CCGCTACTACCGCATCTCCCGGGAGGTGCCCCGGCACCCAGGTGCGCTGGCGCGGGGGGAAGGGGCTGGCGGGGCTGCCCGCGGGGCCGGCTGCCTTCCGGAACCCGCCCAGCAGGCGCAGCAGTCGTGCCGGGCCGGGGGGGCTGCTCAGCCCCGAGGCCCCCGGCGGCCCTTGGGCGGCTGTTCCCCGGGTGATGGCACCCAAAACCTCCCTGCCCTGAGCCCAGAGGGGGAAATCCTCTCCCGCTCTGCTGCTCAACCCTGCTCTGTCCTCTGGCGTCGAGGGTGATGGAGCCGCTAAACCGTATCATGCTGGCAGTCTACAGGCTTGGGTGGTGGCAAGGCTCGGGAACTGCCCGAACCCTTCAGAAAGGGGCATCGAATAGCTGAAAATGCTTCGACTTTCCCTTTCTTCTGAAAATGCTTTGACTTTCCCTTTCTTTCGCAGAAAGGTGGTTTCTGAGCTCTCTCTAGGCAGGTGCTCTCCGGTAGCTACTGCACAGCTTGCCTGGGCACTGCTGCTGCTGAGGGAGATCCCGAGGAGACGCAGTGAGTCACTGTGCGCTGCTACATCACAGCCCAGTTGGATTCCATGATAATCACTGCTGGCTTTTCCTGATCAGGACCTCACAGCAAGCCTCTGCTTCAGGCTCTGTCCCTTTCTCATCTGGACTAGGAAGAGCTGCAAGTACACATTAGCGATCAAACTATTTCCATAAGACGTAGGCAGCAGCGGCAGCCTGGTTGTGGAGGGAGAACGCGTGTGCCTGCCGTCTGGAGAGGGAGGTGGGTGTGCAGCAATTTAATTGTACTGTGGGCAAACGCTAAGGCAGTAGCTGACCCACTTTGCGAGGGCGAGTCGGACTTGATCTTGGCCTCAGCTTGCAGTAGGAAAATGACCCATTAGCAGTCGGCATCAACTGAGGCTGGTAGGGCCTTTCCTGGGTAGAGCTGTTGGCAGTCTTGGTGGCGGCAGTCATACGATCACAGGTCTGTTCCCTGCTGAGTATCAGGTGCTGGAAGCAGTTTGGTGTGGTCTGGAAGGGTAACCCAGTGCTGTCACACCTGCTGAGACAGGCCTTGGGGACCTGCTGACAGGAGCCCTTGCTGCCAAGGTGGGTCTCTCTTGGAGTCCAAAAAGCCTGTTCCCAGCGTGCTGCAGAGGTCCAGGAGGGCTGTGCTCCATCCTCCGCCCCAAGGATGCGCACGGTGCTCCCAGCGGTGGCCGTGGTGGAGGGAATTGGCTTCTTGCTCTTGAGTTGCAGTTGCTACAGAAGGATGGGAAGAAACGCCGAGGATCAAGCAGCGGGAGCCCATCTCCCTGCAGTGGGGAACACCAGTGCAAAAGGGCTCTGAGGAGAGATGAGATGTGGATGGGACGACTTGGGCTGCGTGATTTCACTTGTGCAGACCCTGGGAGCTCCACAGGGTTGAGGACATTATCTTTCGGTTTGATCTGAGGCTCTTTGACCAGGCTCCTTCACTTCCAGCCTCCTGCAGTTAGTTAGTAAGCTGCCAGCCCTGTTCTTTAGCACTAACAGGGATTGAGCAGTCGGTGTAACTCAGTAACGTATTCAGGCACCTCCCAGGCTGCGCTTCTGGAGCTGTGAGGCAGCCCCATGAGGCAATGGGAGCAGGGGGTGGCTGGCAGGCCCAGGAAGGGGCTGAAGCAGGAGTTTGGGGAATCCCCTGCCAGCCTGCCTGCCCTGGGCAGCTCTGTGGTTTGGGGAATGGTATCCAGTGGGTCTTGTAAGAGGAAATGTTGGGGTTGCTTGGCCAGATGGGATCTGTCCAGACCGCTTCCCAGCCAGATGGGCCGGAACAGGGAGCTTCAGAGGGGGATGAAGCCCCCTGCCTAGTGAGGAACGGTGGGATGTCCTGGCAGCAAGCTGCTCCCTGCCTGCAGGAGCAGGTGCCTCCTGGGCTGCAGTGAGTTCCAAAAAAACCTTCAGTCCTGTTCAGTGTAACTAGGGAAATTGGCCCTTATCCATATACGTGTCTAATCCTCTTTGCTTCCTCAGGATTTGCTGCTGCAAGAAGTCTGTAGGCTGCCTTACCGGGCACTTTGTTAAAAATCCTCTTTATTTGTCTCTTTATTGGCCATCAGCGTGACTGCTCTGAGTGCGCTCCAGGCTCTTCTACTGCAGGGCTCCTCTTCTGTCCTGGCACGCTGTGTCCAGCTCCTGTTCTTCTCTCTTGTTTTCTCTAGTCTTTTATCTCATGGAGACGGTTTTTTTCCTGGTCTCATACCCTTTCTGGAACCTTCTTAATTCTGTATTAGACAAGATAAAGATAATCAGTGAAGAGCCCAGTACCCTGAGGAGCAGCTTCCCTCTCATCACATGATAGATTTGTTTGCGTTGTGCTGGAGCACGTCTGCAGTTCTGACGGCTGTTTCGTCCTGAGCAAGGCTTTTGTTAGGTACCCAACAGCCCTGGATGCTTCTTGCAGTGGCTGTACTGCTTTAGAAAGTAGTGGCGCAGCGCGGAGTTGTGTGTTTACTGGAAGAAAAGATTCTCTGTGTGTGGGAGTGGGGAAGCTACTGAGAAAAACATTAAGCCCTGCTAGCATGGCTGAAGCCGTAGGGACGTTGGCCCCAGCGGAGCTGCTGGCATTGCTAGCAGCAGTCAAGACTGCGCTTTATTAAGGACTGATTCTGTGGGTGCTGCTCAGGTCTGTCACTTCCCCCCGCTTACGTTCCTGTCCTGTGTCCCTGCTCGTGTGTTACAGCTGCCGTCTCCTGGTATGACGAGTTCCAGAGGCTCTACGACACCATCCCTTGCGTGGAAGTGCAGGCCCTGAGGGAGCACAATGACCAGGTTTTGCACCTCAGCTTCTCCCACTCTGGCTGTTTGTTTGCATCATGCTCCAAAGACTGTACCGTCAAGGTAAAGCAGCAGCCTCCCCTGCACAGCCCTTCCAGCTTTGATTTAGTGAGGTTTAGCTGCAAGAGCAGCCTTTAGGAAGTCTCTGGAGAGGAGAGGTTTGACCAGGTGTCCCTGGGCTTAGGCCGGTTCCTGCAGATCCTGAGTTGTTCTCAAAGCCGCAGAACTAATGACTCTTGGAAACGTAGCCTTGAGGGCTGTGGATTTCAGGTCCAGCCCGCGTGAAGGTGGCCGAGGTGCCTTCCTGGCTCTGGCTGCTTTCTAGGTGCAAATCAGTCCCATTGTGCCATGGGTCTAACAAGACCGTGGAGATAATGATCCACTGCAGAAGTTGTCTTGCATGAGTGGTTGTCTTGGGAGAAATCTCTCTGAACGTGCTGAAAAATCCAGCTGTGACAGTACCATTCGCTGCCTGAACACCTTCTCCACTGGCTGATGGAGAGGCAGTCCTGCATTTAGCCGCTCTCCAAAGCTGTTGGCCATTTTCTGGCAGGGGAATTGACAGGGAAATAGGGACTGGGAGGCAGTTAAATAGGGTCTTCGGTATTATTTTTTTTTTCTTGTCCTGGTGAGTGCTGGCAGAGTAGATAAAGTGGAACCGCTCTCAGGCTTCTCAAGAGCTTTCTGACTGTTTGTCCATCTGTCTGTAGATCTGGAGCAATGAGTTGGACATCTCCCTGCAGCACAGCTCCAACATGAGACCGTACAACTGGAGCTACACACAGTTCTCCCAGTTTAACTCCGATGACTCCCTCCTTCTGGTGTCAGGTGTCTTTGTGGGGCCTCACAACTCCTCGTCAGGAGAGATTGCCGTCATCAGCATGGGTAAATACCTCCCTCGCCTTCAATGGGGCTTCCTGGGAGGTGTGAAATGGTGGTTCCCTTCCTCTTTGGGTGTGCAGTGGCCTTGACCTCTGCTTGTCCTGCCTTCCGCCGTCTGTGCAAAAGGGTCCCAATCGCAGTTTCATAGGGTAAACCTTCTGGATAGCCTTAACTCTGCTCAGGTCACCATGTCATCACCTAAAGGCAATGTGGCTTATATTTATTCTCGCTTAACTTCCGTTCTAAGTGACAATCTGGGCAAGGCAAGAGTTATCCGCGTTACCTGTTGTCTTGAAGCCACCATTTCTGACTCAAGTGGTGCTAGTCCCACCGTAAGGTCTCACGTGGCTTTCTGAGGCACATTCATCCAGGTCTGCTTCACCTTTTCTGCTGCAGTTCTGTGAAACTCGCTAATCCCAATTGCGTTCTGTCTCACCATCTCTGCGCTACAGTCCCACTGTGCCAAAAATCGAGGGGTGCTGCTAAATGCACAGCTGTCTTGCTCAGAAAGGCCCTGAGGCCCAGGGGCAGGAGTGAAGTTCTGTAGGTGTTTGACTTGTTTCTTGTCCTTGGGGTGTCTGCTTTGGGCCACGCTCAGAGAAAGGCTGTGAGGTTAGATTGCTCTCTGGTCTGGCTCCATCTGGCTGCCCTTTTATTTTGGTTTCCCTTGTGCGTGCTTTCCCCACACATCTGTGTAGAAGAGAGAAATAATCTATCTCCATGGTAGTGACTGGAAGCTGGACAGTGGTTGGGCAGTGTCCGCTCAGCTTGCGGTGGAGGTGCCGCATCAGTGCCTCTGCGGAGACTGGAGTCCGCTTCCCATGTCTTCTGCCACGGTTTCTCCAGAGCCCTTGCCGGGAGCCATTGCCTCACGTTCCTGTTTCCCCTCCCTTCCAGAGAACTTCACGCTGCTTTCCAGGGTGAGGAATAAACCCTATGATGTGTTTGGCTGCTGGCTGAATGAAACCAACTTGATATCTGGCAATCTGCATCGGATTGGGCGTATAACCTCCTGTTCCGTGCTGTGGCTGAACAACGCTTTCCAGGTGAGGTGCCTTTGTTCCAGCTCCACAGGCAGTGCAGCTTCCTGCTGGCTCCTGGGGGAGGAAAAGCTGCAGAGGAGGTGTGAGCCCAGTCCTCCTGTCCTCCCTGTTTGTCTCCTCTGACTGGCCCTCAGGGTCTTGAGCTGGAGGCAACCCTTGCGTGAGGTTTCTCCACACTCGGTGTTGTGGTACCTATTGCAATATTCCAACTCTACCTTCAGCTTCCATTAACTCTTGCCCCATTAATTGGGATGAGGACTTGACTGCAGTGCCCTAGAGCATGTGTTGCTCAACAGGAGAGTGGTTGAACCACAGCAGGGTTGCCGAGGTCCTTGATAATATGAAGCTGGGCCTGGGACGGCTGTAGTCTGGCATGTATCCGAGCGATGGCTGTTCTCCCACTTGGCAGCTCAGTGCATTGTTCCTGGGAGCTGGAGGCAGCTGAGAGGCTGAGCTCAGCCCTGCCTGTCCTTGCTGACATTTCTGTGGGCCGGGTGCTCTCTTATGCTGTGATGAGACCTGGAGATCAGAGTGTGCTGGCCTTAGACTGCTTGTTTGCTGCCTCTTTGGCACTTGTGCTGCTCAGACGTGTTCCTCTTCCCTGTTTTGCCTCTGTCTCAACGTCACAGCTGCACGTCCTGGCATTTTGTGTTTTTTAACATGAACGATTGATGCTGGCCCCGGGTGAAATCCTCTGGTAGCAGAGACCCTTCCCATAACTACATCTCTGTGCTGTGCTGACACTACAGCGTTAACTCTTCCATCTCCAAGAGGCGAGGAAGGACCTTGCCCACTTTGACGGGGGTGTTGAAGTGCGGCCGCAGACTGCCAGAGCAGTTAGGCAGGAAGAGACCTGCTGCTCGTGTCTGGGAGCAGATAACAAGGCTGGTCCTGCTGAGGGCTACAGGCAGGCTTCAGGAGCACGGAGGTCCTCTGCCTCTGCTGCTTGTAGGCCAGAGGTTTGGCACTTCACACTCCACCTGTGTTTATTGCGGAGGCCTGTTCCTGAAATTCTTGTAAAGCGCCGAGCAGTGTCGTGAGCTAATGACCTCAGGTGGGGGGGTGACAGGAAGGCTGCCCGGCCTCTGTGTTTCCCAGCTCCACTGTCGTCTGCCTGCAGGAGCTTTTTGTCTTGGTGTGCCCACCTCCAAGATAGGAAGGAGTGCAACAAAGCTGGCCAGCCTCTTGGGCCAGTTCTCATCGTCAGCACTCCGTATAGCAATGCGAAGAAAGGTCGGTGCCTGGCTGGTGTCCGCTGTGGGGGCTCAAGGTCTGGGCGGGTGGCTTTTGGTTTGAGCTGTAGGAGTGACGTGAGGTGGTTCCCGCTTACTTCTCCCTTCTGCTTGCAGGGCATAGAGTCAGAGAATGTGAATGTAGTGAAGAGACTGTTCAAAATCCAGAACCTGAATGCCAGCACTATCCGGACCGTGATGGTGGCTGACTGCAGCCGGTATGATTCCCCAGACCTGCTCCTGGACTATGAGGAGCAGCTAGCTGCTTCCTCCACCTCCACCTGCCCGGTCTTTGATCTTGGCAGCGACAGCGAGGAAGAGGAGGCCAAGCCCAAGCAGACTCCGGAGCCAGCAGTACAGGAATTGCCAGATGACGGGGGGGTGACAGCAGAGGACGGGCTGCAGCAGTTCTTTGATGATATCATGGAGGGCCGTGTGAGGCCTGCCATGACAGAGACAGAGTTGGAGACGAAGGTGGCTGAGCTGTTCGTACGCAACAGAACTAAACCGCCTGAGCTGAACCTGCTCTCCACGGACAGCAACAGCAAGACAAAATACTTAATCTTCACCACAGGATGCCTCACCTACTCCCCGCACCAGATAGGTAAGGCTGTGGTCTGCGCCCAGGGCACGCCAGCCTCCCTGGGGGTGTGGGCTGCAGCTACGCTCTGAATTTGAATCTGGAAAAGACCTGTTTTATTTGCTGCCTGTTTGTGGTGAGTGAGTTGCAGTTTTGCTCAGGCTGCTGGATTCTCAATACGGGAGGCTTTTGAGATGCCCGCGGTCACTGAAGGGGGTTCCAACATGCAAGCGCTTGCCTGAGGGTTGTTTTGTTGCTACAAGGCTTGACACATGGCCAAACAAGAAAGTCATGGCGAGGGCTGAGCAGAAGATGAAGAACGAACTCCTGACTTAAGGACATCAGCCATGAGTCGCACATAAGCGGGTGGATGTGAAGGGCAGCGATTGCCCTGATAGGAGCGTGTGGAAAGGCCTCAGTCCTGTTGCCTTGTGGGGGTGGAGAGGGCATCAGGGCAAGACTAGTTTGAGCAGCTTGGAGTTCACGTGCACGTTGCTTGCACAGTGCCCCTCAGCTCTAGGAGACGGAGCCCTGTGTGCCCCTGTGCCTCGCCTGCCTCCCCCACTGCCCGGTGTGTGGTCACCCTGTATCACGTGGCCTTTCAGCCTCGGCGAGACACTTGGGCACCTCTGTTTTGGCACTGAAGAGGCTTCACAGTGGGCTATTAGCTGCCCCAGCGGGTGTTTCCATGGCAAGCTGATCCCAGGCAGCTTGCTGGCATTCAGCCCCCTTGCTCAGTGGGGTACAAGGGGCTGTAGTTGCAGCACAAGCCAGGCAGTGGTGCTGCCGGTGGCCTTTTTCTGGGTTAGGACTTCCCTTGCTCATCTGGGGCTCTTTTGTTGAGGCACTGGGACTAGCAGAGTCTGAATTTGTAGGAAACCAGTGCAGTGATGAGCAGAAGCAGGTAGTCTGGCTGCTTCTCCAAAAGCCCCTAAAGCTAGCAGAGAAGTTCAGTGGAAAGGACCAGACAGATCAGTAGAAATGTGGGGAGGGAAGGAGAGCTGCTTCCAGGCAAAAAGAGTCTTCTGTAAAGCCAGACAGGTTCGGTTCCTTTTGCTGCTTGCACAATTACAGCCTTGCTTTCCTGCTGCAGGCTCTTCTGACCTTCCTGTTACTTGGTCCTGCACCAGTACAGCTCAGTAAGGCAGGGAAAGGCAGTTTCCAAAGCTGTAGGCAACTTGGAGAAGTCACTCTGCCTTTGCCCACCTAAGTTAGGAATGTGACCTGGACTGAGTGTAGCTCTACTCTGTGTTCCTGTCCGTGGCCGGGTCTGCAGACAGACGTAGTGGACCTTGGCCCGCCTCCGGACGCGTGGTGGGTGGTCTGCCCTGACTCAGCCCTGTAAGCAGCGCTGCATCTTGGTCCACCGGGCTGAGCAAACGCTGCCTTGCAGGCTGGGGCCTGCAGCGAGCGAAGGCAAAGCGTGGCACAGAGGCAGCACCTGCCTTTGGACTCCGCCGACTTTCCAGCACAGCCTCCCAGGGCCGTGGGTTTTGGTGCCTTTGAACTCCAGTGACTACCTGGCCGGCAGCCAGTGCCCGCGGCACAGACTGGCTGTTCGGAGGGATGAACCCTGGCTCGGCTCCTCTCCCAGCCATGAGTCACTGCAAAATGTTATGTTTGCCCATCGGTTTGTGTGTCAAACCGGCCTTGGTGCATCTGCTGTCTGCCCCCAAGGAACTGGTACTTGAAAGAGCTCGCTGTTGTGCTCGTCTCTCGTGGAGCTGCTGGTGGGAGCCGTGCTCCCGGCTGCTGGGCATTGGCACTATCTCGCCTGATCTGTGGCACGCAAGCACTTCTGCAGGAGTTTCCTTTGAGCTCCTTTGAGGTCCTGCCTCCCTTGTGCTGGTGGCAGGCTTGAGTCATGGGCAAAGCTGCCTGTTCTGCTGGCTTGTGCGTGTGGAGGCCACGTAGCTGAGTTTGGAACTGGGAGTGTAGTGCTGTGGAGATGAGGATGAAGATGCTGGTGAGCAATGCCAGTTGGGTGGAAGAGTGAAGGTCCTGTCCTGAAGGTCCTGAGCTGCCCAGGTTCAGACGCAGTGATGTTGTGAAGGAACCCGGACTTGATGTGCAGTGTGGTGTCACCCCTACCTTGTTGGTCTGCAGGAGAGGGCTAAACTCAAGGGTGTTTGGCAGCGATTCCCTCAGAGGGGCGATGGGATGGGCCATCTTCCAGCTCCTCTTGGACCCGCTGAGGATTAAGCCCCTGTGTGCCCAAGAGCCGCTGAGGCTCATAGTCCTCCAGGAAGCCGTTGTGGATGGCTTGTGTTTGGGAGCTCTGCCTAGAGCTGGAAGGGGAGAGGGCTTGACCCGTAGCACGTGTCTCCCTTAGTCAGGAAGTTCAAAAGCTGTAAAGCACTTGAACCCAGTTTGGGTTTAAACCCCTGTTCTTGGAGCTTTCTGGGGCTGACCCCCACCTACGCTTGACAGCGGCGGGGGAAAACCCAGCCACAGCCAGCGCATCTGCTGGGCCTTCTCCGGGCTGGATATTGCAGGAAATGTGCCCAGCCCAAGGATTCATCTGGGAGAAAAACCTTTCTGCAACCAGCATGCCTCCCAGGCCAGCGCAGCTTCCTTGTGCTTTGGAGCGTGCTGCGGGCTGGCGGGGGGCCTGGGGCTGGGCTCGGAGTGAGGTGTGGCTGCACCAGCCGGGTTGGCAGCCGGGTGCTGAGCATCTCCCTGGCTGGGGTTGAACGTGCCAGCGCGTCACTTACGGGCAGCGTCCTGGCCAAAAGCACCACTTGAGAGAGCTTGAAGGAGCCTGGCAGGGACAGCAGCCCTGTCCCGGTCCTCAGCCAGCGAGCCAGGTCTTTCTTAGCAGCACTAAGGGAAGCCCCTTCTTGAAGCCTGGGGACTTCCTCCAGCCCCGCTGCCTGCTGGCAGCAGCCTGCAGAACTGCCTGATTCTGCTTTCTGTCCCCAAGGGATTAAAAGGATCCTGCCCCATCAGATGACGACTGCCGGGCCAGTGCTTGGGGAGGAGAGGCGCTCGGATGAGTTCTTTGACTCACTGGATCACGTCATTGACATCCATGGACACATCATCGGCATGGGCCTCTCCCCTGACCACAGGTGAGCGTGGCAGGGCGGCAGTGCTGGCTTCAGGCACTGCAGGGGGTGGGCGACAGCTGCTTAGAGGCTTTGCGGGGTGAACAGGAGAAGAAATGACTGTAGCGGATGGAGCAGGGTGCCTGCGTAAGCTGCTCTCCTCTTTCACATCCCATTTATGTCCTAGTGCTGATGGCATGTGTTACTGCCTGAGCATCTCCCCAGATCTTAGCAGGAATGCTTTCCTCCCTCTGCGGTGCTGAGCCCCGTTCAGGATAGGGTCAGGCAAGGAGCCTTGTAAGAGTGAAGGGGCTGCCCACACCAATGTGTCTTGTTCCCAAGGCAGATCAATACATCACCATCCTTAAAGTTGGTTTTAATGGGATTAAAGAGGCTTGACTTAGCCCCTAGGGCCCACCTTCCCAACTGTGGTGGCCCTTTCCTTTCCAAATATGGCAAGAAGTGTTTCAGCAGCGTGTTCCCATGTTTCAGCCTGGATTTTAGTGAGCTGAGATGCAGGCTTGCTAAGGACCAGAGAAACTGCTTGGTCCCTGCCCTGTCTGACTGCGCTGCACATTTACAGCTGGGGCTCTGTGAGTTTCGTCGCATGCGGTGAGGTGCAGGGTAACTGCTCTGTTCCCCTCCCCAAGGTACCTGTACGTGAACAGCCGTGCCTGGCCTCGGGACTGTGTCATCTCCGACCCGATGCAGCCACCCCCCATCGCCGAGGAGATCGATCTGCACGTGTTCGACCTGAAGACAATGAAGGAGGTGAAAAGAGCCCTCCGCGCGCATCGGGCCTACACACCGAACGAGGAGTGCTTCTTCATCTTCCTGGATGTCAGCAGGGACTTCGTAGCAAGGTGTGTGGCGATGGGGGTGGGCAGGATCCTGACCCTGCGTCCGGGAGGGCCTTGGGGCCATCACTGCGGGACGGCTTGTGCAAGCAGGGCTGGTCCGTGTGCTGGAAACTCCTGTGCGTTGTGAGCAGAGCAGGAAACAGGAGGTTTGTAAAGGGCAGAGGGACCAAATTGGAGGGTGCTGATAAAGGCTGTCCGCCCTGGTCCTGCTGTGAAATCAGTGAGGAAAGGGGAAATCTTGGGCTGTGGCATGTTTGGCAGCAGGCGGCAAATGCCCTTCTTGGGGGCTGCAGGCAGCAGGTGCTATGGGGGCGAGTTGAAGGGCCTCTTCAAACAGCCTCTGGATCCCAGAGGAAGCTGGCCTGCTCAGGTTGAAGCCCATGGGTGACGGGGCTGCAGATGTCGGCTGGGGCACCCTCTGCCTCCGTCTGCATAGAAGGAAGGTGGTTGGGAGCAGCAGGTTATCGGGGCTGCTGGGGTGACGTCCTTACCGGTGTCTTGTCCACCGCAGTGGGGCAGAGGATCGCCATGGCTACATCTGGGACCGGCACTATAACATCTGCCTGGCCAAACTGCAGCACGACAACGTGGTCAACTCGGTGGCGTTCAGCCCGGTGGAGCAGGAGCTGCTCCTGACAGCCAGCGACGACACCACCATCAAGGTGTGGCGCTCCCCTCGCGCGGTGCGCATCCAGCAGGCCAGGAAGCCTAGGCCCAGGAAACTGCTCTTCTCCTGGCTCATGAACCAGAAAAGCTGAACCCAGGTACACCTGCTCCTGCAGCTTCCTCACTGCAGCCACCTCCTCTGGAGCTTGCAGAGCTTTGAGCCCTGCACAACAGAGACGAGCTCTGGGCGCATGAATCCCATCCGCTGAGTCAGGAGGGACCCCCGCAGCGGGAATTGCTTCCTCCTTGGAGCATCTGCTTCAAAGACAGAACGTAAGAGCCGAAGGCCTGTTCCTGGGCCTGGTGGGCAGCAGCCCAAGCTGGTCACTGCAGGGTAGGCTCCCCACAGCTTCTCACAAACGCTGCTACTTGGTCACAGCTCTCTCTGGGTGAGCTTTGGTCTCTGAGAACAGACTGAGGCACGTCTCCAGCGTTTGTACTGTGTGAGCCTGGGACGTGGCTGACCTTGCCGAGAGCTACCAGCTGCAGAGCACTTGGCAGAAGCCGCGGTACAGTGCTGTGCTGCCTTACTGCAGGACTCTTTTAATATATAGTAATTTTATTAATGTGTGTTTGTCCCAAACCTCCACGGGCAACTCGTCTGGCTGCTGGGTAATGCTGAGTGCCTCCTCCTACACGGCGTCTTGGTGCTGGGGGGCAGCAGGGACTGGAGGGCAGTGAGAGGGCAGTGGGGGAGGCAGGGCTGGGGGGGCCTGGCTGGCGTCCCGTGCGGCCCCCGGGGCCGCAGCCAGTGCCCTGTCGATGCCTTCTGTTAGCAACTACGTGTTGATATCGCCAGTTTCCAAACTTGAGAGTGGGGAGGGCTGGTGGTAACATGGTGCTGGCTTTGCCTCTGTCTTCCTCTGCTAAGCAGCACTGAAATAAGCTATGGCATTGGTAACGTATTTATTCTAGAGGATCTGCTGTCCCTTCCCAAGGGGCCAGCTGTGAGGATGGCTGGTGGGTCTTGTCGTCACCTCCCTCCCATGCTATTCAAGTTGTGGCACTTTAGGTTCTCTTGGTATGTTCTCTGTGAATAGGTGTGTGGGCACCCACGGGTGGCTGCAGGTTTTCACCCACAGGTGGCTGGGGGAGCGCAGCCCTCCTCTGCCCGAAGGAATGGTTGAATAAGCTTCCTTCCACCTGGGCTGACTTGCCGTGGGTTCGGTGATCAGCTCCTCCCAGGGACCCCTCTGACGGTGGAGCTGGCTCACTTGAAGCGATTACAAACTCAGTGGTGTTTACTCTGTCTCTGTCCCTGGAGCTTTTCTCCCTCCAGCAGGTACCCAAATGTAAGAGTCTAAAATTAAGCTCCTAATCTTGACTTGGCCTAGATGGCTGGGGCTGGTGGTGACCCCAGGAGCTGCAGTCGCTCCTGGGAGCTGGGCTCTGGCCTACGTCTGGAAAGGAGCTGCATCCCAGGCAGGGGCTGGGGGAGGTGTTTTGGGACTCCCCTGGGAGCACCGGGGGCAGTTGTCTGTGCCATTCACAGCCTTGGGTTGCAAATAGACTTGACAGAGGCAGGAGATACTGTCTTGATGTGCACTGATGACTTTAACAGCTCCTGCGGCCCTTGGCAGGAGGGTTTGTACCCTCGTTCTGCTGTGCCCCAGCAGGTGCCCATGGCTTTATCCAAAACCCCTGTACTCAGGTTTTCTGTCATCACAGGACTTCCAGAAACAAGGGAATCCTTCGTGTGTGTGCACACAGGATCCACGTCCAGCTCTCTGTCCAGTCACACAGCAAAGGAACAGCCTCTACCTTCCTCCCTCCTCCCCCAAGATTGTGAAATCTCTTCTCCCTTGGCTCGGTGTAGCAGTGAGCAAGGCACTGAGGGTTTATGTTTGTACCAAGTTTTGCTCTTCACTATGGCATTGAATAAATATTCTGCTAAAGCATCTCTGCAATGCGAGTTTGTTTTTCTGAGTGCTGTTCTTCTACTGAAACAGAAATGGGGCCAGAAGTGCCATGCTGCTGTGCCTACATCTGCTGGGGCACTGCAGAAGTAGCTGGCCAACTTGGAGTAACCTGCCCTGGGCTGCAGAGTGCAGGCAGAAAGCTGTGAAACAACAGGAGAAGAAAGAGGCAGAGAATGGCCCAAATCTTCTTTGCCCTCAGGGAGGAGGACGGGACAGCCCTGGGGAGGGGGAGCAGCAGTTCGTGGCAGCCTTGGGAAGTTCATGGCAGCCAAGGCTGAGTGCTGCAGTCCAGGGGCTGGAGCATCCTGGCTTCTCTGTGTCCCTCCTTGATTTCTAGTTTTTCCAAGCACTAACAGCCTGTGACCACATAAGCAGGGAGCCAGCAGCAGGGCTGGCCCGGTGCTAGGGGTAGGAATTCCTGTGCTGCAGCAGCATCGTGAGCTGCCTTTTGCCACCTTCCTTGGTGCATCATGCAGCAGCTGCACCTGCATGAAGTGGGTCTGGCTGCTCCCTGGAGGGGACAGGCCCCCTTGGGTACCCCTCATATTTGTCTCTTCTACAGACATGCATGCAGAGGTAGCAGTGCTGCTGCTCCCCAGCACGGGTTTAGACCCTTGGCTAGTGCTACAGCTCTGGGGGGCAGGACAGGGCCTCCTGCAGGGATGGTGGGAGCAGCACAGGTACTTGGTTCCTGATGACAGCTAAGAAAAACCAGCTTGTCCTAGAGGAGCGCAGCAGCTGTTTTACTATGCAGCACCCAGGAACACGAGTGCAACGTGTTGGATTTGCCTTCCCAGTCGTTCTGCAGCTCCCCTCTGCTGCTGCTGGTAAAGCTGGCCCAGCACCGCTGCGCCTGCCCCCAAGAGCCCTGTGGCCCCCTGTACAGGTGAAGCTCCAGCAGCCAGCCTGGGGCCGGGTCACCCCCCAGGGAGCTCCTTCCCTACCTGCTCCAGCACCCCTGGTTTGGAAGCTGCAGTGCTGGTGCTGGGCAGACCCCCCACCCTGAGGTGATCCTGCCCCCGCTCCTCTTCCACCCCATGCAGTGCCGGAGCCCCAGCGTCCCATGGATTATAGAACGCTGCTCTTCAAATGGCTTTTATTAGTGGTTTTGACCATACTACATCCTCAAGGAAAAAAACTTACTTCACAGTGCCAGGCTGAGATGGGTGTTCTCCGATAGCTGTGGTCAAAAGGGAAAAAAAAAGAAAAAAAAAAAAAAAACAACAAAAAAATCCAGTGGTGGCTTGTGCCCAGTGCCCCTCTGTGTGCCAGCCAGGCTGGCAGAGCTGTGCCCAGGAAGGTACCATACCTCTGCCTGCAGCGCACGGGCTGCTGCGAGGGACATGCACTACAATTACCGCTGCAAGCCCCAGAGCTGCTAAAAAATGAAAAAGGACCCGAGCGCGTTGCCAGCACCAGATCTGCCTCTTCTCAGCTATGCAGTGAGGGAAGGGAAACACCGCAGCAAGTAAAAGCTTCTGTCACAGGGGCTTGCCCGCCATGCCATACCCCTGCTGTGCCCCTCTCTAACAGCAGCACGGCCCCGGTGTCCCCTCCGCAGGCTGGAAGGGGCCAGCCTGATCCCTGCTTGCAGCATGGACTCTCCCACCTACCTTCTGGGCACCTGCTGGGGTAGGAGGAACAGCACCCACCCCCTGCAACAGCCCAGTGCCCCCCCCCAGCTGAGCCAGCGTCTCCACAAGCACCCCCGGCACTACGTGGCCAGAGCCACCCGGCCCTGCTGCAGGCAGCGGGTGTCCAGCACCCCAAGACCAAAGAAAAGACATTCATATCAACTCAGACCAAAGCTTCCCCCCGCCGCCCCCATAATACACTTAATTCCCAACGACTAAATGAGCAGAGCCGATTTTCCTCCCCCTTTCCAGGCCTTTCCCAGCCTCTGCGGGGCTGGGAGCCTCCCTTGGGCCTGGCCATGGAGAGCTGCTGCAGGTGGGAGCAGGGCTCGGGCTTTGCTAGGCTTTTTTTTCCTCCTGAGGCAACAGGGTGAGTGGCAACACAGGGCTTGCTCCATCCCTCGGGACAGACTGGAAGGGGGCTTGCACAAAGGAAGGGTCCCTGCTGCCCCGCTCCCACCTGAGAAGAGCTGAGGGCCCCTGGGGGGAGCAGCGGCAGCAAGGCAGGGTGCGGGCAGCTGCCCAGTCCCACTCTGTTCTGCGAGGGGCGGCTCCAGGTGGACCTCACACCCACTGACCGTCTGCCCTTGGGAAGAAACGGGCAGGCCCTCGCCTCCGCCACAGCCCTCACCTTTCCACAGAGTCACAGCAGCCATGCCAGGAGGTTTCCCAGCCCACCCTGCTGCAGCCACCCTGCCTGACCAGCACCCCTGCCTCACCCACAGCTGCTGCGCCGACCCTGGACGCGCTGGCACAGGCTCCTGTCTGCCTCCTCCTGCTGAAACAGCAGAGTCTGCCCACAACAGGTATGGTAAGATCCACACAGAGACTTCGAAGGGGGGGCTCAAAGCTCATCCCGGCACCCATCCACAGGCAGGGAGGGCCCCCTGGCCAGCGCAGCACCCTTGGGTGCAGGAGGTTCCTGTGACCAACAAACCATCTCCTGGGGCACGTTCGGACACTGACAGAGGTGAGGGAAGCACAGGCAGAGAAGGCAGCAAAGCCTCAAGAGTCCAGCCTAGTTAACGGCCCGTCCAGAGTTACTAATGGCCACAACAAAACAACTCCAGAGGGACCAGCCAGCCATGATGGAGGGACCTGGCAGGAGTGTCTTCACAAATACAGAGACCTTCTTGCAGGTGCTGAACACTGGCTGCCCAGAACAGAGAGGTGCCAGGAGCCCAAGGACAAAAAGGGGACAGCAAGCTTCACTCAGGGACTTCTCCAGCCACCCCAGGTCCTATTCAGGTGGCTGCAGGCTCAATGAGGGGCTGAGCAGAGAGAGTGCTCCAGTGTGCAATGGCCGGGAACCAGCAGACACGCTGTTCCCAGAGCTGAGGGAAGGACAGGGGAAAGCTGCTGCTGGTCGGCAAGGCGGGCACTCGGGCAGGGCAGGGGCTGGCCAGCAGCCGCCCAACACACAGGCAGACAAGAGACATGCCGTGTCTGTCAGCACCGCAGCCGCGGAGGTGAGTGCCCGTGCAGATGGATGGCACAGCGCGGCTGCAGATGGCAGGGGAGCTGCAGCCATACGTGCTCGGCAGCTGGAGGGGGCCCTGGGAAAGCTGGTGCACCTGCGCTGCTGCAGCTGCCCCGTGATGGGGCTGAAAGACAGCTCAGGAGCATCTGTGTGTGTAAAGACAGCTTCCAGCACTGCTGCCATCCTGCCCCCCCGCTGCTCAGGCGCAGGCATGCAGAGAACGGCAGGGTCTGGCTAAAAACCCACCTGGGACTCCCAGGGTTCAGGGGGCTGAAGTCCTGCACCGAGCCCTGCATCACCCTCCTCTCCCAGGACAGGACAGGCAGTCTCCAGGGAGGATTCACTTCTCTTTCACCACGGGCATCCCCAGTGCTGCCCCACACTCCCTCCCAGGCAGCGGGCACTGCCTGCCCCATCCCGTGCTCCCAGCACGCTGCTCAGAGCACAAACCGCCCATCAAACAGGGCGAGGGCCAGACGCGGGGTACCGCTCTCCACCCACCGCACAGCTCAGTTCAGCACCCCTCTCTGCAGACACCGATGGCACCAAAACAGCAGCAAACCAGTTCGCACCTCTCTCGCCCTGCTTGCACCGAGTCTGCCACACACCCTTCCCATCCACCGAGGCACAGCAGCGCAGAGCAACGGCATCCCTGCGGGACACAAAACTTCCAGGAACATGGAGATCTCTGAAAAAAATCCTAGACGGCTGAGCCAAACATCCACGTGAGGTGGTGCTTGGGCAGGCCAAATCCTTATTTTACTACAGAGCACCGAGGCTGTCCACTAAACTGGTAGAGCAAGAGCTGCACTGGTTTCCACTGGGAGCCCAGACAGCGGCAGTTCAGACACCCAAGTCCCTGCAGCAGATCTTCTTGTACCCCACAGACTGTGAACGTCCACCCAAACCTCTTCTCAGGGAAGGTCTCTCTGACACCAGGGAAGAGGGTTCCCATCAGACACCTTGTTTCCACTCAGAGCGAAGGTCCCTTTTTGGGAAGGGCTTTTCCCCTCCTGCTTTTTGCCCCCTCCTTGCTCCGAGACCTGCCTGAAGTGCAGCACAAGAGGGGGATGCCCCATTCGGGGCTGGCTCTGTGTTCACTGCTCCCAGAGGTGAGGAGGGTTAGAGGCCCGTGAGATCAACGATGGCTTTAATAAAGATGGCGTCATCACGCACGTAGGAGTTCTTGGCTTCCATCACGGAGACGGGGCAGAACAGCGGGCAGCCGCTGGCAATGTTCATTTCTGTGATGGGTCGCTGGAAGGAGGAGGATGTCACGTCGGGTCGGAAGGCATCGATGATGTGCTCCCGGTTGTTCTGATCCAGGAGCATCAGGGTTACCTGTGGGGAAACATGAAAATATACAAGAGCAGCTGAATAAAAAGCACATGGAAACCCAGCCCGGTGACCTTCCCACTTGAAGCCTGTGAAACGTGCAAGTACCAATGCAACCATAGCCTCATCACGCACCTACAAATCTGAGAAACGCCTGTAAGTAGGGTCAGCGGAGAACGTCATCTTGGTGACATTCTGCAGAAGCCTTCCCACATCCTGCCCTGTCACTAGAAACTTCTGTGTAGCAGCACAGGGCTGTCAGACTGGCTCTGAAAACCTACAACTGGCCGGTGTGGCATTCGCTTCCAACACCAATACCCCACGCAGGTATTTCATTAAGTCGCAGAGTTGCCGTCCCCTTACGAAAGAAGGCGGCCCCTCTCTGCATCAGTACTTTGCCCGCTCAGCCTTGAAGTGTTTCGCAAACCTGCAACGTCTAGGAACTGCAATCTGAGCTTCTGACGCCAAGTGAGCATCAGCTGCACCCTGAGTACCGAGGCCACGACAACCTTCCCTCGCCCCGAATTCATGCAGAGGCTCCACTCGCTTTCCAAACACGCTGCTGCTCTCCTGCCGCAGCCTCTGCCGTTTCGTGCCCCTGCCCTGTAGCATGCTCGGTGCTTTCAGCACAACTGGGGAATCCCCAGGATGGCCGACAAATCAAAGTCCTTCCTTCTGCTTGCTAAGTAGGCCAGACCGATGGCATCTAGAAGCACAAGTGGGTGCAAAACTAGAGGGGCACGTCGCTGGGCACAGAGGCTTTGTCCCAAACCTACCTTCTGGTTGAAGGGCCACCGCAGGAGTGCGTCATTGGGTCCTTTCATCACCACAAAGAACAGGGACAGATGGGTCCCACGCCCGGTGCCGTCCCCGTTCAGGTAAACGCGCAGACACATCTTGTAGCCGTACTTGCTTGTGTAGAAAGCTATCAAAAAGTTGCAAAACAGACACAGTCAGTGTCAAACCCAGCAAAGCCTGGCACCAATAGGTTCCTTTGAACTCTAAAGTTTGGATCCTGGAAGAAACCAGGTCTGGGTCTTAAAATACATGTACCACAGAGGTGGTCCAGAAAGCCAGCAGGTACAAAGAACAGTCAGATGCCATCTTAGACTGGCCTGGAGACAGCCCAAGGTCAGGCAGTCACAAGCCCCTGGTCTAGCCGAGACGCAGAGCGCTGCAGCACAGAGCGGGGCGCCTGCCAGCCACTCGGGCTCTCCCCACCCGCCACCGCAGGCACAAGCACCGCAGGCAGAGCCCGAAGCCGGAGCTCTGCCTGGGAGCTGGGCGCTTCCCACTGCATCCCCCCCACAGACCCACCAATTGTGCTGCACGTGACTGCTAAAGGAGCTGCAGTTCATGGCAGTAACACTGACAAGCAGGAACAAAACCACCCCAAAAAAACCCCAACTGGGGGTAGACCATCCTCAGTACTCACTGCAACCTCTTTGTAAGCTGGCTGCCTCTGATGGGGCAAGAGCTCAAGTGAGCTTCGGTCTCCCGTTAGGATGCCAGCCACTCTGCATGGCGTGGGCACGGCTGGGTACGGGCTCTGGGGTCTCGAGCTCTCTCCTATCTCAATTCTGGGAATGCCCATGTTGTGACACCAGACCCATGGCAGGGCCACAGAAATACATCTTGGAAGGGGACCTGCTGCAAACGGCCCTCTCACAGCGGCACAGAGCTACGTGCCTCAGGTCTGGTGAGGCTCAGCAGCCTCAGGGCATGGAGTAGGAGATCAGAGACGGTATTCTACTGCAGGACTTGGTGCACAGGCAGACTAGCACTAGCAGAGATACTGTGTGCTTCCACAGGGCGAGGAGCAAGAGATCAGGGCTTTGTCACCCGCTTCCCTCCTGGCACTCCCCAACTCGTTTCCTCTAGTCCTTCCTCTCCACCTGCTTCACCCAAAGGCTTTCAGGGCAGATGCCACCCTCTGCTAGTCCAAGCAGCACATCCTCACCGCCCACCAGAGGCTTCTCAGCACTCCTGTTAACCCTGTGAATGTAAAACCAGGAGGGGAACTGGAGGAAGGATAGCCCCAGAGCAGTGGGAGTACCCAGGAAAAGGGACCAGGTAGCCAGAGTGCTAAACGCCTTGTGCACCACACCATCAGCTCAGAGCAATTAACCAGGCATCCTGCTTCCCACCGGCCTGAGCAAAGGCGAAGCACATCGGAAGCAAAGCAAGAGCCCAGCAAGCCGCCCCCCGGCATCCGATGGCCAGCAGCGGGTGGCTTTCCAGCAGGAGCTTCGCTTTGACTGTCCCGGTTCATGCCCCCAGTGAACCTGTCTTGTGCAGATTTGCCTTTTTGAACGCTTATGATTTTGCCCTTTGCAAAATCCTGTGGCAGTTGTCATGTCCTCACAACGCGAGTGAGTGGTAATTCTACTTCCTTCTCTTTGTTTTAACACTGATTTCATTTGGTATTTCTTCGCCTTTACGTTTAAATACAAAACAAACAATTCTACTCATTTCCCTTTTTCATCCCATTTGCAACGTAGACCTCTCTCCTCCCAGCTGTCTCCTTCCCAGACTGAACAGCACTAGTCTATTTGCTTCACTTTCTAAGATGAAAAACCCCACCTCCACAAGAAACATTTGTTTCTCAGCCTAATTTTCTTAGCTAAAGCAGCACCAGGAATGAGGATCTCTCATCTAAATGACACAATCAACTACTGCAGGAAAACAAGGCCTTGTACTTTGCACTTGCAAGATAAAAAAAAAAGTCCTGCCTTTTCCAGAAGCAGTCCCAGCATTAGGCAGAGGCAACCCTCACCTTCCAATCCCTCCAGCCACATACAAGATTTTCATTAGCAGATTGCAGAGACCAACCAGCAACACAAAACACAGTCTGGTGGCCTGCAAAGTATTTTCTCCTTTGATGAAACAGCTTATAAAAGCCCTGGGCCCTGCCTTTGCTGCCCTGCCACCGCTGCCAGGCACGGGATGGAGACTGGCCAGCACGCAGCATGGAGGAGGAGGCACCAGCAATCACGAGCTGCAGTTCTGGGAGGAACCGTGCATTCAGAGCACGGCCGAACAAATGACTGGACAGATTAAACCTCTTGCATTCAGAGAGGTTTCACCCCTTTCCCTCCCTTGGGCTGACTCTGATGCTTATATCCCTCCACCAGCTGACTTGATTCTCCAACCTAGAAAAACAAACCCCACGCCCCTGCGAGGACCCCAGGTGGCATCAGCTCGTGGAGGGGCCTGAGGAGCCCCCGAGCTGGGGCACAGCGAGCCAGGACGCCCGTGGCCAGAGGACAAGAGTCAGCTCTGTCTAGCATCTCCCTCCAAACCGCAGCCTCTGGAGATGTTCGGGTTAAGCAGCTCTCGGGCACGGTGCAGGAGATGGACAGGATGCAAGAATTAAGGTCCTCTCTCTAAGTCAAACAAAATAGATTTGAAGCAGATTTGTTTGCTTTGAGAAAAGGAAGGAAGTGCTGCCCTTCCCGAAGGGGACAGAGAGCAGGGGTTTTCCATGGCTGCTGCTGACTTTTAAAAGGAAACGCTAATTGCATGTGCACAGTTTCAGTAGCAGTTTAGTCCCCGTCAAGAAGGGGAATCCTTTTTTCCTTCAGTTTTTCAAGGGAAAAAGGACTCTGAACAGCCTTCATCCAGAAAACAGATTTAAAAATAGTTTTTAAAATTCAATTGCTTTTACCTTGTGGCCCAGCCACAGTCTGCTTTTTCACAGCACCAGGAAGCAGGCGTAAGGTACGTGCTCTAGGTTTGCATGCAGCTCTGGGCATTTTGAAAAAGCTCTCCAGCATGCTTAGATCGCAGCAATTCCTGCTCAGGCAAACACAAACTCGTCTCCTCAACCATTACGTTGCGAGGTAAGCTCCCCACCGAGCAATGAAATTGTGTGAAGAGATGGTTTCATCTTACAGCTGCAAGTCTGGGAAGTGCTTTCATAAGCGAACAAGCCAGATCACAACCTTCTGCTCACTGTCTGAGATGTTATTTTTTAAGAACAGGAGGAACAGTGCTGGGCTGGGGCAGTTGTGCGAGGAGAGCCCCTTCCTCTAACAGATATTCAAGCACTTCCCTAGGTACGGTTTGGGCTTTATTTAGACATTGTCTCTTGCACCGTCATGCTTTAGGCACTGAAATATATTTCTGGGTCTCTAATATATATTTCCTCCCTTCCTTAACCATTTTATTGCTGGTTTTATGGTCTCTGAGTATTTTAATTCTAACTAAAGGGTTATGCAGGGCTATTTGGAGCTAAGAGGGTTGCCTTCCCTGTTACGAGAAATGAAAAAGGTCATCTGCAATCAAAAAAGCACCTCTTTCAGCAGAGCAGTTTCATTTAGCCCAATGCTAAAAAAAAAAAGTTCCAGGCTCCATGGGGAAAGGGAGACAGAACAGAAGTACATCTGAATGGCCAGCATCTCCCCTGCTAAGGGCACCGCTACAAATCCCACACTCAGCTGAGACGCAAAAGGCTTTTGCAGTTTTGCAAATTTGTGGGCAATAACCTGGAGAGAAGATCGCAGGGGAGCGGCCTGTTATCGCCTCCTGACGCTTCCTGGCAAATTCTGTTATCTTCCAGATGAAAACTCCATCGTAGGTGGAAGCTTCCATGTTGCGGATCTTTTCCTCCATCTCAGCCATGGCCAGATCTTTGAGCCCAATGCTCCTTTCCAGCTGCCGGACCTGCTCAGTGGGATACACGGTGCAGCCTGGTTAGAAACACGTACTGCTGTGAGACCCAAGAAAGCCAGCAGACACCAGCATCCCCTTCAGGACGACTCTTTAGTGAGAGACGTTCTCCAGAATTGACAGGGGTCACAGGCGGGAGAAATTTAGCATCGTAAGCCAATTCACTGAAGCTTCCTTTTGAACCCTGTCATTATACATCGATACAACTCTGCTTGAGCTGGAAACTTTCGCAGAGTGAATGGAAAAATCCTCCCAACGAGCAGCTCCGTTACGTTAGCAGCACAAGAAGTGAGGATGGGCAGAAAAAAAAAAATAAGCTCAGCATTGCAACAAAACTAGATTAAGAAAGAGAAGAACCTACACCCAGCCAACAAAGTCTCCACAGGGAGACTGTCTGCTAGCTAACATAGGGTCATGCCCGTTTTGGCAGCTGCCTTGCCAAGAGAGCACAGGTACGCTGCAAACCGCCCAACTCCCAGCTGCCAAGACACACTGGCAGCGCTCAGCAGGGCCCGTGCTGGAGCATACCGGTGGGGGCAGCTTCTTCACACCTCCAGACCATGCCTGGCACAACACTGCAGTGCAGCATCAGTGATTACTTTTGTAATGATACATCAATTACTCCTTTTGAAAGGTCTGGAAGGTGAGCAGCCCCCGTGGATTCAGAGAGATCCAGTGGAATGCTGGGTACTCTGTCTCTCGTTGGAAAACTTCACCTAGGAACAACATCTTGGTGTCTGCATAACTTGATTACTAACAGAGATCTGAATGCTTTGTGCATGCCAGTTTAATTCCCATCTTTTCCAGGAAGCTTTTGAGGGCTGGGCACAGGCACAAACTATATTTTAGTTCTGCCTTCGGATTTGTGGAGATTCAGGGCTAGGCGGTGAAGCTTTGCTAGCTAATAACATGGAAAGGAAACTGAAAAAAGTCTCTGCTCAGAGTGCTGGAAAGCCCAAGCCAGTGGTTACACACCTTGCTACTCAGTGTTTCGATTTTCTCCTGGTCTAGTCGATGTTGCCGACTGTAGGCTTCGGCTGTTAGAGACACTCTTTCCACCTCCCGATTGAGCACGCAGACAATGTTCTCAAAGGTCACTGTTTTCCTCTCAAGGGCCTCACATCTTCCCAAGAGCTCCAGGGACCTGGAGAGCTCCGACTCCGAGCACAGAGAGTTTGCTGCCAGTAGCGGGGAGTTGTTTTGTGATGAGGAAAGGGCAGGAAGGGGCTTTAGGTCTCCAGACCCAGCCTTGAGGCTGAGCACAAAACTCAGTAGCATGTAGAGATGCTCTGCCAAACACTTGCTTTCGTGTTCTAGTAGCTTTTCATTTTCCACCTACATGAAGAGAAAAACATCCCCCATTCAGCAAGCTCAATCTACACTGTCACCATCCACAGAACAAATTCCTCCTCTTGAGGTCACAACGTTAGCTTTAAATTATAAAGGGGAAAAACCAAAGAAAGATAGTTAAAAACCTGTTTTGGGGGTGGGTTTTTTTGTTTTGTTTTAGAAATGCTGCAATCACATACAATGACGGATGCTTAATGTTTCCCCAGCTGTACACACTGTTCTACTCTGTCTTCCTCCATTACTTCCCCAAAAGGGCTCCGTCGGATGTACTTAACAGCACCAAAGGACAAAGCCTCACGTAGTCCTCCTGAGGAGGGATTTACATGAACATCACCAGTAGGAGCTGGGAAAACTAAGTCACATGGAAAAATATGGCCTGGCCCAGGCTCTAGCAGGAGAGCAAGACACCAGATGCCCAGTTCCGTGCTTACAGCTGAAAGCAGCATAACCACCAGAGTCTCAAGCCACTCGGGGTGTTTCTCAAGAAGGAGGTTTCCTCCCACATGAAGTTCATTCTCTGGATACCCAAACTCTGGACAGCAGATGATGTTAAGCTCCATTTGCAAAGGGTTTGAAACACCACTTTGTTTAAGTATCTGAATGCAAACATCTATGACAGTTCGGGCAACAGCAGTTTGCATGTTAACTCTAACACTGGAACTGAAAACAAATCCCGAGATAAACATCAACAGACAAGCCCTTACCACCTCAGCACATCCGACAACCTCAAATCTGCAAGGCACTTTAGATCTGCCACAAGTCTTCACATGGTCCCGAAACTAGAAAGGAAGGCAACGTTAGATCTTATGTGTCCCCAGTAGCTCCCTCTCCATCTCGCTGACGTCTAAGAAACTGAAGACTATCTCAAGAACCCCCAAGCCACCGCTAATCACTAGCTGCCAAAGTGCATGGTTAAACCTGGGCGCTGCCTACCATTAGGTATGACTTTCACTGTAATATAAATATAGTACTGACACCTGGTAGGAAGTTTTATTTCTCTTTCTCTTGACAGTTAGGAGGTCTCACTTCTCACCTGCATATGCAAGAAAAAAAAAGCAGCCAGCACAGGTACATGTTATGGATGCTGAGCAACAAGCTTCACTGAGGGCAGAGGAAGGGGAGGCATGAGGAACAACCCTATGAGACAGACAGCCATTTAATGTTGGAGGTCTCACTTCTCACCTGCATATGCAAGAAAAAGCAGCCAGCACAGGTACATGTTATGGATGCTGAGCAACAAGCTTCACTGAGGGCAGAGGAAGGGGAGGCATGAGGAACAACCCTATGAGACAGACAGCCATTTAATGTTGTCCACTTCATGTATCCCTGGTCGGGATGTGCCACAGCTTGGTATTTTTACTTCCAGCTAAGCGTTATAAATCTGAGAATAGAATGCTTCCTGGTGGTCCTGCCTGAGTATTTATAGCAATTACTGCAGGTCCACCCATGCAAGGGAAGATGCTCTGCTGGGTCCAGCATCCCCTCACTGGGGTGCCGACGGACACCACACCTCGGCCGCCTCGCGTCTGGCAGCTGCCACGAAGAACCAAGGCCAACGGTGGATATTTCTACAGAGAAGTGCCACCAACCCCCCAGCCGCCAAGATGACTCGTTTGGGTTCCCACACAGTGCATGATTAATGATAACAAGCACTGGCACATTATCATCTTGGTTTTGATATACCTCTCATCATCAGATATCAGTGGTCTGTTCTGAACAACAACCATATTCCACATTTAACACCTACATCTGCTATAACAGATGTCGATTAAAACTGTTTTTAAACCACTTTTTTAAAAGCTTCTAGATCCATCTGGCTTGCTTAATGAGTCAGGTTACTCAGAGTTACAACGGCTGCAGCTCATCAACAAAAGTTTGGAGAGAGATAAAAGAGGGAGTTAATATTTAAACAAAGGATAGATCACCTATGGGAATCCTACAAGCCTAGTCTGTGCTGAGCTCCAGCTTCAGCCTGCAGACAAGCAAATCTGTATCCCAAGACCCCAGCACGAAGCCCTTCGTTACGCTGCCCATTTAGAACTCTTTGCTCATCTTGTTGATGCTTCTGTTCCCCCTGCCCTTTTACAAGGGCCTTTTGCAACAGTGCTACCAAAAATATTTGCCCGTAGCAGGCAGGACAGTTTCAGATGAAAGTGCTTTTTGAAGATGTTTCCCAAATCTTTAATTTTCAGACTTTTGAGCCTTGCCCCAGGAGCCAGCAGCATGAAGACCCTATAGACATGGATTCCATTTCACGATTAATTAGAAATAAATTAATTTAGCTGGAGATGGGTTCCCTTTCCATAATTGCAGCAGTGGCTGATATAGTTGCTTTACATAGGACATAAGTACCCTCTAAACCCACGAGCGTGCTTTTCCCATGGAGGTTCTGCACCCAAACACGGCAAACACACTGCTCAAAGGGAGGCGGCGGCGGCAGCACTAACGCAAAACTACAAGTGCCGATGAGTCACATCCACTCGCACCCGACCAGTATTTTGAGTCTCATGGAAAGGTCACATCTGTACTAACGGCTGTCATTTAATTGTTTTCCCCACTCCACTTTCTGAAGGTCTCGGTTTTCCGCCCTGCTCCGAGACCGCTGGCGTCAGCCCATCAGGATGCCAAACACCACAGCGGCACACGGTTCACCGACAGTCGGATGGATACCTTCTCCCTTGGAATCTTCTTCCCACAGCCTTCGCAAGTCAGCGGGAATTCAGGGCAGACTTCGTCATGAGCCTGTAAAAGAATCGACAGGAGAATATTTGGTCCTCTAAATAAAAGCTCCAATGAGGTTATATGACGAGTACTATTCAACCGGGGTAGTTTTATATTTTATTACAGAAAAGCGCCGTATTCTACCAACCTATACTCAAATCTTGGTCACGCTGATAATTCTGCATGCTGACTCATTTGTGTGATCTCCAGGCTACCAGAATTTTGGGTGCCTATGTAGCCTCAGCCTCAATTTAAAAGCTACTATAATTTAAAAAAAAAAAAAAAAAAAAAATATTCTTGAGTGA